GATGGAATGGATCTGCCTAACTACAGGCTTTATTTTTCAGGGCCAGAGTTCCTATCAGGGGACTCTTGGGTATCTCTTCAATTCATCCTTCATCTTCAGGTGAACTTTGATAGTTGGCATAGAGAAGGTGCCAGAGGCATGTGTGACAAAGTTATGGGAGGTGAGCATGAGCACTGTCGTGAGAGATTTGCTTGGGGTAGTTCTCCATACAGATAGAGAAGACACTGGTAATAGGTGATGGGGTAGGGTGGTATTCCCTGATCTAGGTTCTATACTGGAGGAGGTGACAAGGTCGGACGGCATCCCCTGACCCAGGTTCTATATTAGAAGAAATGATGTGGTGGGGTGGAGTCCCCTGATTCAGGTTCTATACTGGAAGAAGTGAGGCCCTTATTCCCCTGGAAATGCTGCTTATTCTCATGCAAGATGCACAGTTTTGTGAATGCTTTTTTAAAACTCAATTATATTATTCCCATTTGAATCTGTTAGCAATCTAACTGAAACACTATTGCCTGGACATTATTAGAAGGAAATGGACTATAATAAAAACGGGGGACAGTTGATCTAGCAAAGGATTTACATTTATACAACAAGGACATATGCTAACTATGCTCATAGCAGCATTGTTTGTAATAGCCAGAACCTGGAAGCAACCTAGATGCCCCTCAACTGAAGAGTGGATAGAGAAAATGTGTACATTTACACAATGGTGTATTACTCAGTGGAAAAAAACAATGAAATCTTGAAATTCACAGGCAAGTGGATGGTACTGGAAGAAATCAATCTGAGTGAGATAACCCAGTCACAGAAAGACAAGCATGGTATGTACTCACTCATATATGGATATTAGACATAGAGCAAAGGATTACCAGTCTACAATCCACAACAGCAGAGAAAGTAGGAAACAAGGAGGACCCTAAAGGAAAAACACTTGGTCTCCCAAAGAAGGGGAAAGGGACAAGAACTCTTGAGCAAATTGGGAGCATGAGGGCAGGGAGGGTTGGGAGGTAGGGAAAAGAGAAGGGGAGTAGAGGAGGGGGGAGAAGAACAAGAGGAATAAAAAATTGAGGCAGGGAAGGAATAGAGGAGAACAAGAAAAGAGATACCTTAATAGAGGGAGCCAGTATAGGCTTAAAGAGAAATCTGGCACTAGGGAAATGTTCAGAGATCCACAAAGATGACCCCAACTAAGAAGCAGTAGTGAAGAGATTGCCTTTGACGCCTTCCCTTATAGTGAGACTGATGACTACCTTATATGCCATCCTAGAGCCTTCATCCAGTAGCTGATGGAAGCAGAAGCAGACATCCACAGCTAATCACTGAGCCATACTCCTGAAATCCAGTTGTAGAGAGGGAGGAGGGATGAGCAAAGGAGTAAACACAGGGCTGGAGAAACCTACAGAACCAGATGACCTGACCTAGTGAGAGTATTGGGACCCCAGTCATAAAGCTGGGGAACCAGCATTGGACTGAACCAAACCCTCTGAATGTGGGTGCCAGTTAGGAGGCCTGGGCAGTCTATTGGACCTCTAACAGTGAAAACAGTATTTATCCCTAGTGCACAAATGGACTTTGGGAGCCCATTTTCTATGGAGGGGTACTATTTCAGCCCAGATGCATGGAAGAGGGCCTAGGCCCACCCCCAAATGATGTGACAGACTTTGATGATCCCCAGTGGAAGGCCTCACCATCCTTGGGGATTAGGTGGAGGGTGGGTTGGGGGGGTTGGTAGGAGGTATGGGAGGATGGGAGGGAGAGGGATCAGGGAATTGATATGTAAAATGATTGTTTCTAGATTAAAAAAAGAAAAAACTAAAATCAAAAAAGGGGGAGACAGGGAGGGAGAGGAACAAGAGGGAGGGAGAGGGAGGAGGAATGGGAGGGGAGGGAGAGGAGAGTGAAGGAGGGAGAGAGAGAGAGAGAGAGAGAGAGAGAGAGAGAGAGAGAGAGAGAGAGAGAGAGAGAGAGAGAGAGAGAGAGAGAGAGAGAGAGAATACATTAGGAAATGAGATTAAGCCTGAGGAAAGCCTAGCTGCCAAAAGTAGGAGTCATATTACTTATTCTCTGAGAATTCAAGTTCACTTCCTCAGTCCTTGACTTCCCTTCACCCTGAGGTCTAAAAGGAAGAGTCTCCATATACTTTCTCACCCGCATTCCCTGGCTGGCTACATCTCCTTCAGTCCCTGTGTCAGGGAGAGAAGATAATGGCTCAAGAATCCATACAGGCATGTCTGTGTCACACACTCCAGTGCTCCATATCCTTTAATCCCAGGATACCACACTGTCTTCTGGAGGCCCAGAGAGGTGAGAGCAATGGCCCAAAGTTGCATAGCAGGAAGGTGGTGCTGAGGAGGCCCCTCTGTCTCTCTGTGTTAGGTCTATGCAGAGTCCCGAGATAAACCAGCTTTGGCTTCCTGACTGGGGTATGAATCTAGACCAGTTTTTCACTCAGGGTGACTCTGGTCCTGGAACACTTGGCAATAACTGGAGACTTGGTTATCAAACTGGACACATTGGGGAAGGATAGAGGTGTTCCTGGTGTTCAGTTGGTTGGAATTAAGGAGCCCATAGTATATCTTTCGATTCCTAGGGAAGCCCTTCTCTGTCAAGTCATCTGTATGCAACACAGCACAATTACTGAGGTCTAGTGCATAGATCCAGAGGAAAAATGGACAACTCCACCCTGTTCTGTGGTCAAAGCATCCAGGAACCCATACACAGCTCCAAGTCCTGTGTTCAAAGTGAGAAATGGGCTGAGTCTGGTTACCCAAGTAGAAACACATACCATGGAAGGCAGTGGGTGGCACTGTACTTAGGCCTGGGCTGTCTGAGGAAGAGAGGAGGGGCCTAGAGAGGTGAGCAAGGCTCCCTCTCTGCCTGTCTGGAGGTCATGACTGAAAGTAAAAGCAACCAGGTTTGAGGTGGGGGGGCTCTGTGTAAAGACAAGTAGGGAGAGCAGAGAGAGTAGACACAGTTGGCTCATCCTCAGGGGGCCAGGAGGCTGGGTGACAGTGAAGGGGATGCCCACTCATGCAGTGGTACTAGCTGTGTTCTCTCTCTCTCTCTCTCTCTCTCTCTCTCTCTCTCTCTCTCTCTCTCTCTCTCTCTCTCTCTCTCTCTCTCTCTACACACACACACACACACACACTCATACCCAGAGGAAACCATTTCCCAGACTCAATCAAAGCTCTCACCTCCGTGTCTTAATATCCATGCCTTATTAGAACCGTTGTCCTTTGTGATCTCCCAACTTCACAGATCATAGAACTATTCAGGAAACAAAGCTGTGGGTTACCATACCGCCCCCACCAGTCTACAGAGGAGCTTAGGAGGGAGAAGTGGGAGGGGAAGCATCCTTTTCTTTCTTTCTTTCTTTCTTTCTTTCTTTCTTTCTTTCTTTCTTTCTTTCTTTCTTTCTGTCTTTCTTTCTTTCTTTCTTCCTTCCTTCCTTCCTTTCTTCCTTTCTCTTCACCTTTCTTTCTTACAGAAACTGGCATGGGGAACTGTCATAGCTGGAGCAGGCTAGTCTGAGGAATGCTGGTTCCTGCTGCCAGTGAACTACACCCTGCCTGGCTCTTGATACTCTGGGGAGAGGAAAAACTGGCTAACAATGCAGTCACAGGAAAGGTGGTCTGCCTTGAAGGGCATGGAGAGAAATATCTGCTTCTATGCACGTGGCAGGAGGTATCTCTGAAGTAGACCATTCGGGGCTGGCTACCCAGCACCCGGTACTATGCACTACTTCCTTCCATTTTTCCTTGCTGTTTCTTCTGGTCAGCACCTCTTGGAGTATGAGTGTGGGGTGAAGAGTTAGAATGAGGTTATCTGGAGATCAAGTGAAGAGTCTTCCCACTGTGGGGTACTGAGTTTAACATATAAGAACCCAAGACTGATTATAGAGAGCAGTGCGAAGGTTGTTTTCCCTTAAACCCAGTAGATCCACCATAGAACAGCTGGCCCACTTCTGGGTGTATTATCAAAAGAAACAAAATGAGAATCAACATTCGCCTGCATGTTGTATTTATTGATGCATGTTCATAGCAGCTAAGGCAGAAACCAATGTGGGGGCTGCAACCAGCGCATAAAGAAAATGTGGAATAGATGCGCAACAGGGTGTCACTTGGACAAATGGGTGGAACCAGGGGACACGATGAAATAACTCAGACTGGTGCCACATGTTCTTCCATAAAAACACACCTTAAAAAGCCCATCAGGATATGCAGCAGTGATGCCCAGGAGCTAGGGCGAAGGGGATGATGGAGACAGGGTGGATAATGGATATTAAAATAGACATGTTTTCTCACTTTCTACAGTCCAGTGGAGGACTGCACTTCACAACGACCTGTTACATATGCTATAAAATAAACAGAGAGGTGCTCAGAGGCTCCAAACACACAGGCATGGCAAGGAGATGGAGAATAAATGAGCCCAATTCGATTAGCACACACTGCATGCATATAGTGTAATTTTACACAGTGCCTCATAGGTTCCTGTGGTGATTATGTGGTAATCAAAACTGTTGTTAAAGGAACAGGACATGTTAACTATCCTGACTTGATTAGTGCCCATTGTATACCTGTATTGAATCATCACAAGGTACTGGTAACTATGTGCAGTAAAAATGTTAATTAAGGGGCTAGAGAGAGAGCTTGGTGGCTACAAGTTCAGACTACCGAAGAGGACGATAACTACCTAAGAAGTTCTCAGCAGCTCACAACTGCCTGTAACTCCAGCCCCAGGGAATCTAAAACTCTCTCTGGCCTCTAAGGACACCTCCACTCAACTGTACATACTCCCACACAGACACAAACACATACATGCACAGACACATAATTAAAAATAAAAAATGAACCTTTGAAATGTTAGCTATTAATAAGGGAGGGTCAGGGGTTGAAGAGAAGCATACCAGTGTTCATTCACACCCTGCCATGCCCGTAGGAGAGACATGTGGCAATAGAGGCCCCACTCTGCCCTCCAAGCCCTGTTTCCCATCTGCTTACCTGGTAATCACATAGGGGGCAAAGCACACGAGAAAGGTCCCTATGAAGGTGCTGATCTTTTTGGTGGCACGCTGTCGCCTGCGCTTCTGCTCCTCCAGACATCGCTCCCTCACGCTACATGGGACAGAGAGGAGAAGGTAATTCACGGGGTGGCATGGCCGGGACACAGGGAGGTGCTACTCATGACACAAACAGTGGACTCCAGACTCGTGGCTATGAAGCCAGAGACCTAGGGCTCGATCTTGTGCTCTTGGACAAACTGTGTGACATTGTCAAGGTCGTTATTTGCAGTGTAATATCATATATCACATTTTATTGATGTGTTTTCTTATAGGCAATATAATGTTAAATGGGATTGCCTGAAGAATTAAACGTACCATGCACAGTGTCTGGTTTCCTTTATGTTTTTTTCGATAAAACACCCTGACCAAAGGACCTATCACCAAGCCTCTCTGAACATGAGTACCCACTTCTCAGAGGATTTCACCACAGCAAAAATTTCATTGTGGGGATGGACACGACCCATTAACTAGTAGGACACTAAGAGATGGGGAGCTTCCTTATGCTCTCCAAGGAGTCAGAATTTTGATGAGGGGCTATAGTCCCTTCCCTCTCCATAATGGACCCTCTCTCTTCCAAAGCCTCGGGTAATTAATATCTATAATGGCTTTGGGGTCTTCAGAGAGACCGACACTGGAATGACTGAAGGAAGGAAAGGCTAGGACTGTCTGTGCCTCTCCCCCCCCCCCCCCCCCCAGGCTGCACAGATCTTCAGAGATCTGCTGTGTTGTCTCTTCAGGTTAAGCAGAAGGCATTTTGTAGCTGTGTGTCTTCTTTGGCCTTTGCTTCATAGCTAATAGCCTATTGGTTAACTGTGAAGAGGCAGGGTTGAACTTCTAGATTCAAATCCAGGCCCTTGATTTCGGGGTGGCAAGTGGTACAGCCTGTCTGTATATCAGCTTCCTCATCTCTAAAAATGAGGGTTCTGGGAGACCCTGCCTTGTAGGGTCACATCCAGAGTGACTGAGTTAAAATATGAAAACTACCAAAAACCATGCCTGACTCAGTGAACACTTAGTGAGCATTAACCAAACTATCCTCAACTCAGTATACATTCACTGGCAAACAGTATACTATGTTCTAGCTCCGCCATGAACCTCCAAGCCACAGGGTTTCCTCTTTCCGTAAAAGTCCCTCTTGTCCTATGCTCTGTCCTTAGGAGAGGGCAGTTGTGGCTGGGGACTGTACCAGGGATGATGTGAGCTAGCATCATGCAATCTGACATTGAGTTCTGAGTTGACTCTGGCCCACTTGGATCTTACAAGTACATCACAGAATCTAATGTGTCATGCCAGTAGAACACAGAGACTGTCTGCAGAGGGCACTTAGCCCCAGGGAAATGTTGTTGCTGGGACAGACAGTAGATTCTGCAGCATATGCCTACCCAAGCTTACAGATGGGGAAATGGAGGCTTATGGGAGTGAAGGATCTGCCTGCCTTGAGATTCAGGTACAAGTGGGACTTCAGATACATGGGCGTTGGCTACCAGCCCAGCATTTCCAGTTAGGGGTGTGGCACTCCTTCCCTGAAGGATTGTAAACAAAAGGGCTGGAACCAGCTCTACCTTTCCTTCCTGGGTTCTACTGTTTCCTGGGTAACAGTGCAGTGGTGGTTGCAGGTGAGTAAGGTCAACTGACCCCATGTTTAGAAAGCAGCTTGACCATCAGCTTAGCACTCCCATCACTTAGGTGTGAGACAGCTCACTGGGCTCTCTGAATGATAGGATCACAAAACCATTTACTGTCATTTCTCTCACCACAGCTTTGCAGCCCAGAGGTCCAGAAAATCTTGTATCCCTGTGAGCTGCATTGTGATTGTTCTCAGATGAGGACCCTCATAGTTTAGGACATGCCCAAGAAAATATTGGCAGTTTGGGACAGAACCAAGTCTCATCTCAAATATCCTGACCTGACTCTAGGGAGTTCCCTTTACCCTCACTGCCACCCCTGGTCTGATGGTGGCACCCAGAATCCTTGGACTGTTGGGTAGAGTCTGTGGTGCAGAGACCTGAGGTACATGACTCACTCAGGGACCCCTGATTGTGGTGTGAACATGTGTGCTAGCCTGGAGTTGGAGTAGGGGGTGCCACAAGATTTGAGACCAAAGCAGATGGCCTCCCTGGCTTTCTGACACATGAGGTTAAGGAGATGCACTCAGCAGGCTCCAGTAACAGAGACTCTGAAGTATCTTAACAGACAGTGAAGGAGGTGGTCTCAGAAACCTTGATGATCTGAGTTGTCCATTGTCCTTCCAGAGACCACACTTGGAGCACTCATAGGCTGGTCCCTTTTGGTTTTCTGGCTTTTAAGACATGAGACAAGATGGCTCATAGTGAGAAAGAGCTCTGGGTTTGTGGTTAGGATGCTGGCATTATCAGTACCCCTTTCTAGCAAATGCAGTCCCTGTTCTGGGCCCTCCCTACACATTAAAGCTGGAGCCCACCCCTTCTACACTAGAGTAAACTCTAATTTTCTAGGACACATAATCCTTGTCTAAATGCCTTGATTCTGATTCCAAAATACATGCAGACTCTGGTCCCCATCAAAGGGTGGGCTGTACTGTAGATGCAATCAGTCCAAGGCCTGAGGAGCATCACATATATGGAACATGACTGTAAGACTTGTAGTGTGCACATGGCCCAAGAGAGGCACCTTTGGTGCTGGGTAGAGTCAGGGATGGAGAAGTAAGGTAAGTGGACCACTTAGTGTTCTCTAGCCCAGATGACGCTAGCCTCAGAGGAGCCTGTAAATCCTAAATTTGAGCCCCATTTGTAGGAAGTATATCTGTGAAGATACAGGGATTAGGAAATATTCCATGTAATTGTCTGCAAGCTAAATTAGAACTTCTAAGCATCTACACAGACAGTTTATGAGACTCTGTCTGCCTGGGTGCTCCATCCATAAATCTCAAGGACAGACTTATGTGTGAGCTACTTTTTAGAGTTCGTCAAGTGCCTCCCTTTTGGGATCAACTAGTCAAGATTCTGCCTCCTTGGTCAACCTCTGACATGCTGCAGAGTCAGCCCTCTGGTCTTGATTCATAGGATGTTGAGGGGTTAGAGAGAGACCCCAGTAACACTGTAAGGAAGTCCCCATTCAGCTTGTAGGAGAGACTCTTCCACCAACTGCTTAGCTCCAGGAATGTGTCTACCTAGCATGGTGAGCCTGGGCTGGGCTGGAAAGAGAGAGCACTGCGGCTGGGTTGTGGAGCCTGATCTGCTTGGTTGTACTTGGCAGCAGAGGCAGAACAAGTCTAACTAGGGCCTGTCTAGAGCTTTGACTGGGAGAACTGAATAGCAGACATTGGGCAGGTGGAGCTGAGTGTGGACCAGACACTGCAAAGCAAAACCTGCTTCGTAAACGTAGTGACTAGGAAATGGACACAGAGCAACAGAAACAGGAGATGCTACCTTGGGTCTCAGATTTAGAAAAGAGGGACTGCCTGCTGTTTAGGCAGTGATCGTAGCAAAGGGGTAAAACTTGCTATTCGACTGGAAAATCAGCTACTTCCCATCCCTTCCTAACAAATGGTACCTGGGCTCCAGTACCTGGGATAACTTCCAGTGAGCTAAGACTCCACTTGCTCCCTTAGCTGTCCAGGGACTGTCCTGGGACTGACGCCCTAAGATTTCATAGGTTCTTGATACTAAAGGATATCAGAGCCTGAGATAGGGCAGGACTCCATTGCAGCCTTCAGAGTTAAGACCACAGCATCTCAACTGTGCCATCAAAGAGACAGCCAGCATATCAGCTGTCAGGGAGGTAGGTGAACTGTCATGATCTGTGAACCACCTCCCCACTCCTACTTGAGACCTCTGTAAAGGACAGCTCGTGCTCACCAAGGAGCACATGGCTCTGTGACCTGATGGAGCATCCTGGAGGGTCTAGAAGCAGGGACTCCTCCAAACAGCCCGAGGCTTAGAGGAGGTCAGGGTTCTCCTCAGAGTTGACAAAGGCCTGGATTGCAGCAATGTCTGTCTTTGCTTATGAGACTCCTAAATACTCTCTGTAGTTCTGACCTAAAGTCAGAGAGACAGGAGCAGAGGAAGCCCCTGTCCCTAAATAGAATGCAAAGTGGCCTCTACCCTCCTCTTTGGGGGATTAAGAGCAGGGGTTGGGCTTTGCCTCACCCTAAAATAACTGGCTCCACTTCTCTTTCCCTCCACTGGGAGGCTCTCTGAGTGGGCTTTCTAGGACTGGTTCAAGTCTTCAAGAGTTAACATTTCCATGCATCCTCACAAGCTGCCTCAGCCCCAGCCCTGGGACGGCCCTTTCTAAAGTGAAGGGCGATGGACATGTTTCTGCAAGCATGGTTTCAGACTTCCTGCTGAATTGACTCTTGAGCTGCACAGACACAGGCAGAGAGAGCTGCTGCAAGAACATTCCGTGTAAGTTTCTGTGGGGAAGAGTTCTGTAGAGAAGACTAGAGCAGCCTGTCATCTGGAACAGTTGCTCAGAGCGGGACGGCAGACACACTCTGCCATGCCCTTCCAATGTGCAGGCATGGTGAAATTCAGCAGCTTCTTAGTGCTAAGGCAAGGAGCCCCACAAGTGGCCTTGCTCAGATGAACACCTTCCATCTGTTTGCTGTGCCCTAAAGGGCAGACACACATCGAGGTCTACACTCTTCCTACCCCAGGCTTCCTGAATCAGGGCCTCTGCTCACACCCAGACCCATAGCCTTTCCATCACCAGTGCACTCTTTGTGCTGTATCTTCTGTGCCAAGTGGATTCCTAAGCTCTTATCTAGAGTCCCAGGTAGCAGAGAGGGAGGCAGCTTTTAATGTATATAAACCGGCAGAGGCCACAGAAGCACCCTCCCTCTGGATGCCCTTAGTCTTGAGAGGAAGAATAAGGTGAGCTCGGGACAGCTTGATTGACAGTTTTCTCCTTCTCTCCCAGAGGGACATTAAGGACCACAGAGGTTCCCAGCCCGTCCTTTCATTTGCCTCCTTCCATCTTGTCCTGAGAAATAGTGGGTCAAGAAGATGGAGGTGGGCAGATAGGACAGGCTTAGTTTCAGGAGCCTGAGGTACAAATTCTTGAAGGGACCTTGAGGCTCCAAGTCCAGAAGACATGGGACAGGGTGCTTTAGGGAGGCAAGTCAACCCCAGGTCCTCGGGACCCACCATAGTGAGAAGGTGCAATGGATCCTGCTTGATGGGAACTCTGACACACACAGGAAGAGGAGATCAATGTAGCACCACACCAAGGATAGCAAGGACCCGGAGGAGTAACACACAAAGTTTGAAGAGTTCTTAAGTGTTTTCTAAGCCTCTATAGTCGTCTCTCAGGGCCATATCCAAACCCCTTTCAAGCTTTGCACAGTGAACAAAGCCCACTGTCTAAGATGGTATATGGATAAGGAGGGAGTTCTGGCTGGGATTTCAGTCTGGGGCTTCAGAAAATGAAGCTCTGGGTATCATTTAAACAGCACCTGCCATTCCACCCTTGCAGTGAGGAGGAAAGGGAATTCTCTCACAGCCCTACCCTGGATGCTGGGACCTTCCCAACTCACTAGTGTCCCCAGCGCACTGGATCAGGCCTCTCACCTGGGGTGGATGTCCACCAACAGCACAAGCGTCTGCATGGTGATCACGTCGATGCGCTTGCAGTGGAAGCGGGCCACCTTGAGCACCTTGAGGTACGTGAAGCAGAGTACGATGAAGGAGAGCAGGAAGCTGAGCGCATGGAAGGCGCTAGTGAAGACAGCAAAGCGCAGGCGCTCCTCCGGCCGCCGGCTGCACAGCGTACACGAGGCATACAGCTGGTGGAAGCCGAGCCAGGACAGGGCGAGAGCGGTGGCCGGGAAGATGAGAGCATGCAGCCACGTGTAGGCCACCATGAACGCGGCATCGCGGAGGCGCATCTTGGCACGGTAGCTTAGCGGGAAGACCACGGCCACCCAGCGGTCGATGCTGAGTGCGGCCATGCTGAGCATTGAGTTGGCAGCCAGGAAGGTGTCGAGGAAGGCAGCCAGGCGGCACAGGCGGTCCCCGGCCGGCTGTCGTTGTGCTACGACGCCGGCCAGCGTGAGTGGCATGTTGACCACAGTGCACAGCAGGTTGCCACAGGTAAGGTTGAGGGTGAAGAGCGCCGGCGCCTGGCGGCGGATGTCAGCGCTGTGCAGGAGGCAGAGCAGCACCAGCCCGTTGGACAGGAGCGACACGCCGATCGTGCCCACCAGCAGCCCCGCCAGACCCGCGTCCCACGAGTTCATGGTGCGCGCCCGCAGCTGGCGCTCAGGGCCCGCAACCCCGCGCCGCCATGGCGCAGCCCACTGCCGGCTCAGCCCCTCGGCGACGCGGTGGCCCAGCGACCCCTGGCTCCTGTCGCCATGGCTACCCTGAGGGCGGCGTCCAGCAACCCAGAGCCCCGCGCCACCCCCTGGACCAGCACCTAGGGACACAGCCACCCGGAGCCGCCCTGCTCCACCTCCCAGGCGAGCAAGCACCTGGGAGCAGAAACACTCTGGGTCACCTCACCACCTGCGAGTACCTGGAAGAGCGATCACCCCCAGCCCCGCACCACCTCTTGGCCAGTCGCCCGGTGTGCCGCTGAACTCCTGTGGTGCCCTGGAATCCTGGATTGCAGGCGCCTGTGGTCACTGGCTTTCCCCCTGCTCGCACCCGCCCTCACCGGGTCCCTCTAAGCTCTGGCTCTGCACCGCACACCCTCCTGCTTTGTGGCTTCCTCTCTGTCTCCCTCTCTCTGCCTCTGTGCTCAGTCTCCAGTGTGCTCTCACTTTCTGCTCCCCCTCCCCCGTCTGTCTCTCCCACCTCCAATTTTCTCCTTCCCTCTTTGCTTACCCTCCCTCCCTTTCTCTTTTCTCTCTTCTTTCTCTCAGGAAACTGACTGCTTCTGAGAAGAAAACCCCACTGATTCTCTCTCTCTCTCTCTCTCTCTCTCTCTCTCTCTCTCTCTCTCCCTCCCTCCCTCCCTCCCTCCCTCCCTCCCTCCCTCCCTCCCTCCCTCCCTCCCTCCCTCCCTCCACATTCAGGCTCATACTTGGAAGGAAGGAGCCCTGCAGGCTCCCTAGCAGAGTGACTGGCTCCCTGTGGCTCCCCTCCTCCACTTCCCTTCATCCTCCCCTATATGAGCAGGAGACGGGCTGAGTCAAAAGAATCTAAGGAAAGAGAAGGATGCCTGGGCACCCTCGTGCCTCAGTGCCTCTTGGTCTAGCCTAGCTGACCAGACCTTGATCCAGTCTTCCTGCCCCATAGCTGCCCAGCATCTGGGCTTGCTGCTGTTATCTAAGATGAACTGTGGAGCTCAGTTTGGCTTCTGCTGGGCTGGGATGGAATTCGTAGTTCTATCTTGCATTAGGACCAGATATCTCCTGAGATCTCTGCCCGTCTGTCCACAGGCAGCTACTGGACTACTGCACAGTGAGTCCCCAGGGCTTCGTCCTATCCCTCTAGTCATTCAGCAGCATTCTCATACCTGGTGGAAAGACACTTGAGGCTCATTGGGACATCCCTTGGGCATGTCTTCAGTCGAGAGAACACTTTATGGGTTCATAGCCATCAGAAGTAACCCCGGTGTGGCTGGTACTGGGCACCTGTGGTGTCCAGTGCCAGCTGCTGTCTGTCTGTTCTGGATCCGGTGAGACAGCAAGCTATTTCTGGTGAGACAGTAAATTATGCTTATTAGGCATGTGGGTGAACTGTCCAGAAAATGGGAGGATGGTGGATGGCATGATTTGATCCAGGTCATGGGAACTTGGGACATAAAGGGTCTCAGCCCTAAAGGGTAAACACGTGGGGACTGTGGCTCTCTTATTCCCAGTCCAGACTCTACAGTTCCAAAAGTGCTTCATGGGCAGACAGGTGACAGTTTTTGGAACTTCCCTGGCCTCTTCCCTTTCTGTGAGACGCTCCCTCCTCCAGTGACCACCTACACTGTGGGGCCTGGGCATGATGACTGCAGATGGCCAGACCTCAGTCTAAAAGAATCCAAGCATAGATAGTTACCTTAAGAGAGATACTTGTCTCCCGCATCACACTAATTATCTCCCCTCACGTAGCTTCAAGTATGGAGGGGGTTCATATAAAGAACTGGGAAGGCAAGGAAAACAATGTCCTCTCTCCTCTGCACCCCGACAGATGCTTATTAGCAGTCACTGTAGTGAATGACAACACTATACAGTAGAGTTCTGGCACCACTTCTTTCCAGCTCTCAAGGGTGCCCTGGGAGCTCTTCTGCAGCCCCCTTCAGAGGCAGCACGCTTGTGGTTGAAACCTACCATCCTAAGGGCATTTGCACCATAGAAACAAGTAAATGCCACAGCTCAGGGCCCCCATCATCTGAGCCCATGGTTAAGCATTTACTAGCACACCACCCGCTGACTTCACAGGACCCAGGGCAAGGCACCCAGCTTCCCCGAGTTCAATTCTTTATCTGTTTTTCAGAGCTGCATTGATATTGTGTGGGGGTGGCTTTGCTTCTCAGGGAAGGGCCAAACAAGCAGAATACCCACAATATTCTCAACTCTTGGTCTCTTAATGTGGCCTACAAAATTCAGGTTGGCTGTGGGTGTTCATCTCCTGCTTGGTTGGCGACAACACAGTGGGCTGTCCACCTGTGTGTCTTCCTGTTTCCACAGACTGACTTGGCAAACCACCACTGGGATGAGACAGGTGTTCAGGGTTACTTCTAGAGTAAACCAGTTTATTTTGGGATACACCAATGGATCCTTAGATCTTACATTACAGTGTTCTATAGAATCACCTTATGTGCTGGTTAAAGATTTATATCTCGGGGTCACCTCTTCCCAGGGTTTCCAAGTCAGAGAGTTTGAGATTCTGTCTGCTTACTAACTCTACATATGATGACCAGAAGTGATCAGGATAGATAGTTGATGCCTAATCCTGCTCTGGACACATCCTCCATCAGTGGCCTGATGCTCTGGCCTCACAGGACTACCCATGTTTGTAGGGAGCACAGACATTAAAATGTGAAATATTAACTAATATATTCATAGCACATGAATTGCCAAAGCCTGTTCAAATATCACAATTGATTTAATCATTGCAAGAATGATAGATATGAAGAGTTAACTACTTTTGGTATCTCAGAGATAAGGACAGCAAAATACAGAAGAGTTAAGAGACAGAATTGGCGACATGGGCTGGCTTTGACTGTGTGCTCTGGAGCTCCTCAGTCACCTTCTCAATGAGATGCCTTTGGTCTATAGCTTAAAAGAACCTTAACTTCTCAGCATCAAATGATGCTGATAAACAGATAACGGGCCCAACAGTAAAAAAAAATCAGTATTTCCTCCCCTCTCTCCTCTCTCCCTCTCTTCTTCTTCTTCTTTCTTCTTCTTCTTCTTCTTCTTCTTCTTCTTCTTCTTCTTCTTCTTCTTCTTCTTCTTCTTCTTCTCTCTCTCCTTCTCTCCCAACCTTCCCCCTCCCACCCACTCACTATCTCTCTCACACACACAGCATATTGAAGATCATTTTCTCTCTAAATTCCTAAGAGCAACACTGAAAGGTTAAAATGCCAGAATAGAAATTCAGAATATTATAACTCAGTTTACTGAGGAACCAAAGCTCATTTTCTTCTGCTTATTTAAACAAAAGTTCCTGCTCGCAGTGGTATTGTTGGAGGGCTGATCTCCATAGCGACCAGGTCCCCAGGCTTGTTGGCTTTATCCAGGGCAGTCTTCACTGAGTTCAGGTCTAGCATAGCCTTACACACTGATAATGAGGTTGTAGTCGCAGAGCACAGCCCTGTGTGGAACTCAATACTAGCTTCTGCTGACCCTCCAGAATAAAATCTAAGAATTCAGCCCACTCAACCAACTGGAGCCTGCAAGGTCTGGAACATGCCTGCCAGGCAACCACACTGTGGTTCTATAGAGTATGCACTTTCAAGCCAGAGGGAAGTCAGCAGTGATGGAATGTTGATGACAGCACTAACATGACTCATAAAATGCTGTGACTGTGCCCCCTGGGGAGGCTCAGCAACAGAACTCCATAGAGGCAGAGGAATGCACGTGACTTTGTCAGTCCTTGTAGGAACTCTCCGGTGTGCCCATCCTGGAGTGAAAGAACACTTCCAGAACAGGCAACAGTTTCTTCAAGGTCACTTTCAGTCACATCAGTTGACAGAATCAAGTGAATTAGTTAGAGATCCACATCTATTAGGCATAAACCCCCGCATTCTCCCTACTGCACTGCTCTCTATAAAACACACACACACACACACACACACACACACACACACACACACACGTTGCTGACAGAGGTGGTTACTTCCACTGCTTCCACAACAAGAACCAGACTGATACCAGTGTTCCAAGGAAATTACAGTTGAAGTTCTATGGATACAAAGAACACATATGTTGGTGGTCATTTGAGTAAGGAACCAGGAGATTCTGTATTTGTACAAGTTAAAGAGAGTGGGCAAGATTCTGGACATTCTATAGGAAAAGAAGTATCAAGGGAAATGCCTATGGACCTAAGGCTAGAGACCCAGCAGAATTGTGTCCCTACAGTATAAAGTGGACCTTCAGGAGGGTAAGAGACACAGATGAATGTACCAGCCCCCATGACAAGCACAAAATGTAAGGCCTGTTGAGATAGATGATGAATTCCACAGCCTGGCACATCCAGTCAGCCTGTCAGCCTCCCCAACTGGGCCCAGCAGCAGTATTCCATTTTCAAATCATTTGCTCAACTGATATTTAAAGTCATCACAGTAGCACTGGAGTATACTGGAGGCCAACTACAGATGGTCTCATCATGCAGATTAGGACATTGAGACCATAGAGAAGGCATTCATTCTTTGTAGAAGGACATATGACTCAGAGTGGCAGACTAGATCCTGGAATACTGACCAGGGACTAGCTCACTGATTAGTGCTCTCTATTACAACTAGCATGCCAGACTGGCAGTCTCTTTCCAAATGTATGCACTGGTCAGCCCTTGCACTGGGCAAACAGGACCAACTGTACATTCTATCATTTCAACAGGGTACAGAGTTTCAATTGACCATAAATATATGGCTTTTTGAGACAATATCTCAGCTGGCCTGGGCTGGCTTCAGATCTGCTTCATAGCTAAGGATCACCTTGAACTTCTGATCCTCCTACCTCCACCTCCCTAGTGTTGGAGTTGCAAGAATGCATCACCACACATGGCTCATCTGTTCAATGTCAAAGAGGTCAAAGAGGAGAACTGGCTCTATGGCCCTGAACCTTTACCACTCCAAAGTCTCCATGATGGCCCCAGACCACACAAACCAGCAATGTGAGATGATAAGTTCAAAAAGAGGGAAGAGAAGTCCCACTGTATGATAGCTTGTCTGGTAGTCTCCTAAGGAAACCAAGAGATGTTTCTGCTATAGCAGATGAGGTAACAGGTTCCGAGAATCTAGGTACAATGCCCAAAGACCAGAGCTAGTGGGAAAAGTGAGGGTAATGCAGATCCAAGTATTTGATGGTTCTGTCTCTGTTCTGATGCCATACTTGGTCCCACAGCCTCTCCTAGTCATACCCACTGACAGCCATTCCCACTCTGCTCTCATCTACTCTCTTCCTAACTATGTTCTTGGACTGGGTATCAGCTACACAGTATGATAGTTTAGTATCCCAGAGAGGGCTTCTGCTGAGCACACTGCTTCATTTCCCCATTTATGGTTCATGGGACAGGGCTTACCACTCTGCTTGTAGATTGGGTGTTGGAGGGAGGCATGGCATGAATCAGCCTGTCCAGTGATTCTCAAATAGCCTGGGTAGATCAGAGACCAGATGCTTTCCAAGCCAGGACTCCGGTTCTTATACCACATTTGTCCTGCAGATGATGAGATGGAAGTGGCTGCCATATAACTAGAGTGTGTCTGGCCAAAATGGGGTGCTGCTTCTCTCTGCTGGGCTCAGGT